TGTACTGTTGAGGCAACGAACTGAAATAATAAAAACCAAACCAAACCAACATTAAAAAATATAAACGTGAGAAATGAAAGGAAATTGAGCAAGTGCAGTGTGACAATGGACATGCATGTGCAAGTGTGTGTGTATTGTTTTTTTCCAAATTACACTAATAATCAGTGAGAATGTTGACCTGAAAAAAACGAGTACGGAAAACGCTGAAAAATTGCGCAAAATGGCACTGGGCAATACGGATGGGGGTAGAGGGCACTTGGTAACACTGGCATGTGTAGTACTAGTAATAGTAGTACAGGTAGTATGCAAGCTAAGGCCGTAAGGGTAACACAAGTGACTTACAATGGTGAGAAAATGATTAGCTTTGCAGCAATGCAGGCTTGTCAGGCTGAATGTCAGCAAAAGGGGTGACAAGATTATGATCATGCAGTGCATGTACATGTACGTATGACATGATTAGAGGTACATGTACATGTACTAGCAAGGCAGGGATACTACATGACTGTATACATGTACAGTGTGACATGGAAAACCAATTAATTATTTTGTGATCACCATGGCATGGCGGCCATTTTAGATTCTGGTTGCCATGGCAAAGGATGCATTTTCTCTGCGTTTTGGGTTGTTTGGCTTTGATTTTTTAAATTTTTTTACATTCCCCTTTGATTTCTTGTTTGAATGTTGGCTGGAAAACCGTGCATTTTGCATTTCCATTTTCCGCAAATTAAAACACATTTTTCGGACAGGCCTACTGCTCTCCCTTCACTCGCTTGTAAATCCTACTTGGAGCAGTAAGGTTATGTCACTGCTCCTACTGATGTCATTGTTGTGAAAGCAATATCATCGCCATTGATGGTAATTTTCCACCGTGCATGAATCATTAACAATCATCATCTATGTGTCAAGGCCTAACCATCCTCGTAACTCCCCTCATCGTGACTAGTGCTGTACCGTTGAAACCTACTTTGCTTCAGTGTATATTCGCTCCAAAGCTCTTGTTTTGTTGCATAGTGATCTGACGCAGTGTGCTATAGCCTATCGGGTAATAAGGATAAGATTTGTACAGTCGGCATCGCCTATGGAGTGACCAGGTACATGTATAAGGATACTAGTACATGTATACCGGCTTAACGATATCGGAACACAAATAGCACTATGTGTGCAATATTCCTTTCTAAGCTCACGCTGTGCGGTGCAGATAGGCCATGTGTCGTTGCCAACTTGCGGCATGTGCATGTGCAGCAGGAAGGCACCACATGTCGACTACTACTTATCCTGTACAGCATTGTGTGCTTACATGCATCTACGGCCTTGTGCAATTGAGTCTCACATACGTATACATGAAATGACCCGCGCTCTGCGAAAACCGACCTTAGGTGCTTCGTAATTTTTTCGAGAAAAAGAACAAAACGTCACGGTCTGTCGATTTTTGAAGATCACAAGGTGAGAGTCATGGCGGAACGAAGCAGAAGACGGTCGCTAGCTCAAATAATTGCCGTGGGCGTCTCCCAGAGGTTTCATCCTAACTCCTTCACGATGAATAGTCATTTTTTGGCCTGGTTCAATCGCAGTTCTGATGACAGCAGTGCCGAGGAGAGTCGGATGTGGAATCGCAGGACGCAACGCTGATCGAGCTGGACGGCCATGCGGAGGAGAATTTCGATCAGGCGTCAGTTTTGCCACCAGCCCAGCCCCTCAATGCCGGCAATAAGCAGAGTGCAGACCAAGAAAAATCGGTTCAAGTACTGTCTACAATCCAGGAGGCGCGCGACAAGTTTGACAAGGACTGTAGTTGTTCCGCACTGGTGCTGTTTCAAGAGCGTGACACTTGAAACCTTGCTTTACAGTTACAGCGCTCACAGCAGCGCACGTCCTGACCAAGTCAGAGCGCTGCTTCTGTGTACATGTAGATCTACATGATGTAGGCGGAAAGCTAGACGTGCTCAGGAGACGTGGTGAGGCTACCCGGCCCAGCGCGTCCAGCATGCTGGGAGATGTGATAGATGGGGCTCAACAAATACTACTCTGAACTACTGAAGACTACAGTCAGTGGCTGATGTGGAAGTCATGTACAGTCAGACCTCGTTTATCCGGTCCTCGTTTATCCGGAAGAAAATCGCTGGTTACCGATGTGCAGCATATGTTATGCATACAACATAACCGGACCTCGCGATCCGCATACCGGTGCATGATTTTGTGTACAAACTGGTTAAAATGTGTACAAAATGCTTCGTCGTATCCGGTTGCATGTGGCTGGCTAGCGCCTGCAGAAGCTAGTATCAATGAGTTGTACAAGCAAATGAGGTCCTTGACCTGCTGGGTGTGTGCGGACAGCACCACTTGTCATTTTTCTCCCTTGTTTTACATACTGGGCACGCTAGATGTACTGCATAGGACCCGTCTACATGTATGTATGATGTCACTGCTTTTGACATGCCACATGCATATACAGTATGTGTGTTCAGTTATCCGGTTACCGCGCCTATCCGGATGTTTTTGTGGAAAACAGATGTGTGCGGTTAAGCGAGGTCTGACTGTACATGCATGTCAGGAAGTCTTTGTGTATGCCTCCAGCCCAGGATCAAGCCCTGGGTGCTGAAATCTGTGCATGCTGCTGTCAGTGCAAGTGAAATCAGCCCAACACAGGAATAGAATGAACTCTGGAATGCACTGCCTGTGGAAGATGTTGTGGAGCTGAAGCATTTTATAGAGCATTATGCTATAGCTCATGGCCTCCCTTAACCTGCAGATCCACATGGGCACAACAAGCCAGTACCAACCTACATGTACATGTATTTGCCCAGCATCACTACGAAGAAGCTTGTTCACCAGGCGTTCACAAAGCCTGGTGGCAAAGCTGCATACAGTACGTTTGGCAAGATTTGGAAAAGAGACTGCCATGATATCACCGATTATGAAACAATGTGTGCGGCAGATGTAGACATAACTAGATGTTCTATTACCAGTACCAGATAAAACTATCAATATCCGTTAACCCGACATTGATCCAAGCTTCTTCACTACTTTGCACCTGCCTCTACCCATCACACCGGCTGGCATATCCTCATACAGAGCCAAATACCTCTTCCAGCAGATCGTGAGCAACACCATCCACAGAACAGAGATAGAATGTGTCTATCTCCACAACAGGAAGATACAATGCCATCATAAACCTTTCCTTTTGAAGATTATGACATACAGATTTATTTTGCAAAGTTTGGTTGCAATCATGCTGCTTGAACTCTCACAGCATTGGCTCCAAAATGAAGCATAAAATCCAGGATTTTTGCTACTTTTCCTCAAATAATTGTAGGAAAAGTGCAAAGAAATTGTCATTGTATCTAACTGAATATGTATGCAATCCACCTCAAACTTCACCAGAAGTTGAAGAAAGGGTCATGGGTCAACAATCCAGCACAAACTCAATTTCGCCAAAATAGCACCTACATGTAAGGTCGGTTTTCGCAGAGCGCTATTGCTTGTAGTGCGGTATCAGGTGTTAACATACAATGGCTAAATATTTTTCTCGCAATAATGACCGTATTCACCACAAGTGTGTTTATGTCCAGAGCCAACTCAAGTCCTGTATTATTTATGACCATGACAACAAGACTTCCGGGCTGAAATTCTTCTATGACATGCATGAACCTTACAATTGTTCGTGATTGTACGAAGTACATATTCGCTGTTGCATCAATTTTGCACCATTTACATTGTAGTGCCACTAGTGGTATCACCTGCATGCGTATTGAGTCAAACAAGGTTACCTCTGTATAATTATGCTTATCGTGGCTATCAAGAGCTTCGATGCAAATTCCCGGCTGACGAATGGTGTCCAGCTTGTGTTCAGCTCAGCTGGCACTCACAACTCATAATAATTGCGTTCTAGACGCCAGATGAGATATTTCAGCTACAATGTAGACAAAACGTCCGTGTTCAAGAAAGCCGTCACTTCATCTTCTGTCCATCCTCAATAGCACGTTCAAGCAAATACGTCTGAAACACAGTAGCGACAATCCGACAGCGGCAACACGCCGTCTTCTCCGAATGAGCTTCTACCGTTCTAATTCAGATTCCCCCAAAAATATCAAAATAAAATTAATAATAGATATCCACCAAGCTCGCTAGAATCTTGCGAACCGTCAACATGCAGGCATTTCAAGTGTTCGAGCGTGCGTAGATTCTGCTCAGCGGCTCAAGAACATTCGCCAAGCGAAAAAAAGTCGATGAGAAAGATGTAATGGTGGACGAAATAATTTTTTTTTCTTTTTTTAATTACGAAAATCGGAAGAAGGTATTCGACCCAGTTCGACTATCCTGGACTGGATTGGCAACGTCCAACAATCGGATTCGTATTCTATGGGGTCTCATGAGCTAGTGTGCCAAAGGGCGTTTAGTTGGAGCTTCAGTGCATCACCTTCGCCGAAAGAGGCCCTTTCTGAGATTTGGCCGATGGACTAATTGTACAATCATGTACATGTATCTCCTATTTGAAACACCCTCCTCTACATTGTATGTCATGTACAACGTTGACTGGTTTACAGGTGAAGTGGGGAAGGACCCTTCACCATGTTCATGCACCACCACTCACTGCATGTACTGGCTTCAGGCTTCAGCAGAGATTCGTTATTTCTGACGTGACGCGAAAGTTCAGCTCAGGTTTAGGCTAGGCTAGCGCATAGCTAGCTGCATGCTGAGCGCTGGCCGGCCATGCAGCTCACGTCAAAATTTGGAGTTTTACGCAAAATTGGACGTGAAATTGCGCGTCACGTCGGAAATAACGTGCATCTTTCTCAGTACTGAAGTATCACAACCATTCAATCAAGCTGTAACGACGTGTAAGTGTAAGAACTACCGTAAGATGCACTGACTCCGAGTGTATGGCACAGATTGTCAGTGCTGACAGCTGAGTGCACTGGGTGTCTTCTGCAATAATTATTTTTGTTGTTTTGCTTTTTCTCAGAAACCTGTTCCTTTTACTTTAGCAGGACTGTTTTCATTAATTTTTACTTATACAACTCATTGTTGCAGGAGTAGCAGAAGTGGACGTGGAGTGTGCGCTGTTCGCAGCACAATAGGCTAGCATGTCTAGCGGTGCAGATACCGTTAGCACGGCGGGAAGGGTACGTTCGTCACGGAACACTTCGGCCGAGAATCAAGCCATCCAATCCGTCATTACCAAGGTTGGTGCAAATCAATACTACCGGTAATAATAATGCCATAACGACATACCTGACCACTTGAGGCCAGTTTGCTTACCTGACTCCTTTGGGGATGTGTGTTGGAGATGATTCGTCGCAATCTCAGCACGACGTACAGTTCAACAGTGGTCCAGTTTAAACGTTACGAACGAACCAAGACTTACACAAAAGAACGTCATGAAATCAACATTCCAAAAAGTGCTAAAATTTAATTACAGCGCACTCGGAAACTAAGCGAATACTAAAGATATGGGAATGGGACAAAAGAGACTGTACCGCTTAGGGGTGAGGTACTCGGCATGGCATTGTATGGAGTGTCTGGACTGGAAGCCAGCACTAGTGTTGTAATTAATATTTTTGTTTAGCAACCACTGCTAGTTTATATTGAGGTCTTGCTGGCAAACTAGAATTGTCTACAAGTAATGTGTGGTAGAGAATTAAATCAGTGCTAGTTTTTGTATTGGAAGCCAGCGCGCGCGAACCACTGGGCCGCGGATTTGTCACCTGCTGCATGCAAATCACGTCAAACCATGATATAACCTCATGACCTTCATTGGATACGAGTTACAAGTATCTGGTCTCCACAGTGATTAGATTGACATACAGTCGAAGGTGCGACAAACTGGACCAGTTACCTGGCACCAAAATACAGTAAAACTTGTAACTTAAGACCACCGTGACTAGCGGCCAGCCTGGTACTAGAGACCACTTCGCCAGGCACGGACTGTCTCACATTATATTACGGTTGTGCGGTGCAAACCGCTGACTAAGGACCACCTGCCACTAAAGACCGCTTTTTCTGGCCCCAGGGGGTGGTCGCTAGTCATAGGTTTTACTATTGATTTATAGAAACACAGGACTAGTCGACTCGTGTGTTCCCGAATGCTCAATCGTCTTGTTGTATTGCGCTGTGTATTTATTTGCACACCACAAGTAACTTTCCGATCAGCAAGCAGATGACGTTGGTCATCTAATCGGGCCTAAAACTAATGCATTCACCGTGATGTGCTTCAAGGTGCTTCCAATTTCTGGCTATCCCTTGCCACCCCACCCTATAATGGCAGGGGCATGGCTGGCCCTCCTTGGGGGGGGGGGGGGGGGGGGGGTGGGCACGGCCACACAAGTGTAGGATGGCTGGTGCATGTCATTCATGGTCGTTGTGTGCATGCTGAACCTACATGTAGCTCGACATTTTTAGAGGGGGGGGGGGGCACGTGCCCCATGCGGGCTACACTCCTGCTATAATGGCATGGGCATGGCTGGCTCTCCTTATTTGGGGGGCGGGTGCACGTGCCCCCTGTGCCCCATGTAGGCTATACTCCTGCTGTAGTGGCTCATCATCATAGCCTACCCTCTGTGGTAACATAATATCCTTCATCTGCGTTTCATTTCCTTCTCGCAATGATCGTCGCATATTTCTGGCTCCAGGGCGAGAAGCAATTGGCAGAACGGAGATCAGAGAGAGCAGAGGCAAGGAGACTGAGATTACGCAATCTCGAGGAAGAACGACGGGTAAGAAAACAACTCTGTTGTTGTTGTTGTCGTCGTCGTCGTCGTTGTTGTATTCATACCTATTCTATTCTACGTAGCCAATGCATGATTGCGTTGGAGTTAGTCAGGAACATGTCGTTGGCAGGGTTCATGCTGGTGCTGGTGATGTTGTTGATTCGGGTGGTAGTTGTGTTGGTTATGCTGTCCGCGGTTGTCCTATTCGTACTCATGTTGGGGCTACTACAACTAGTCCTGGTCCCATTGCAACTAGACCTGTGCTTGTGTGTTTGTGTGTGTGTGTGTGTGTTTGGTTGGTGGGTACACTTATGCCTGATTGTGTTGGGTCTGTTGCCAACGGGCTTGGCTGATTGAAGGTGTAAAGTTGTACTTGCCACCTTTGTTGATTCCAGGGTTCATATACTTTCTATTTGAAGTATACATTCCTGTTAACCATGGGCTGCTTCTGGCTAGACTAACTCTTGTGTAATCAATGGTGCTAGTGAAGCTTATATCAGATCCACACTGATTTAGCCACCCACACTAGTAGCAAGTATTACCTTCACTGGGGGCAGGGGTAACTGCAGTTGGATCCCGGGACGGATACCCTGATGCCTTCAATCCTTTTTCTTCACCGTGTCCTCACCCACTTACTGAGGTGTGGTGAGCCCATAAGTTGGATCATTTTCAAGTCCACCCAGAGTTTTGGGGATTTCAGGGGGTGTCGGCCGTTGGGCGGTTCCATAGCCAATTGAGTCATTTTTCCAAGATTCCTCTTGAGTCTCTCTCCCCTCTCTCAGGGAGACCCACATGACTAGTTTTGGCAGTGAGCGACAAGTACAAGTGTGTGTGTGTGTGTGTGTGTGTGTGTGTGTGTGTGTGTGTGTGTGTGTGTGTGTGTGTGTACAAGGCGGAAGATAAAGATGAAGAGTTGAACAGCGGAACGGTGACTCCCTCACGGCGTGCCATCAGGAAGCAGGAATCCACAGACCCGATGTTTTCACCGGACCTTGCTGATCTATACACAAAAGACAAGGTTAAATACCGTTCTGTAAAGTAGAATCATGAACCTCATGAACCTTTTTATGCTAGTATCACAAGCTGTGTAGGTCTCAGCGAATTCTACAGTTCGTACTTTAACACTGTAGGGTCCAAGGTTATTTCACGGAATTGACTGCATACGTGAGCCCAATTTCTTTACTCAATCATACCTGCATTGTAGGTATGATAATATCAACGGTGACTATTCATACTTGAAGGGCAAGCAGCAGCTTTCAGCCTGTTTATCAATGAAGCAATTCCACACGTCCAGCACATGCGCTCTCTGACCGACCTCATGAGACCAGCAACATGATACCTAGTTATAAATACTATATAGACCTAGTGGCTGTTGGAGTGCGCATCCTAGGTGTGCTAGAGCTGTTAGCCAGTTAGTTGTAGAACGTCAGTACCGTCGGTCAGTGTCGTGCAATGTTATCGCATGAGCTGGTTGTTTAGTAACTGGTGGTGTTAGTGGACATTATAGCGTAGCTTGTAGTTCCTTGGTCCTTTTTCTTTCTTATAACTAGTGTGTATAGCTTGAGAGTCATGCTGTTTCTGGTGTGATGAGGTCAGCCAGAGAGTGCATTTTGTGGAGATGGAATTCCTTCGCTGACTTTTCGGCCATTTCTTATCCCTACTATACTGTCTAGGTCATAGCCATTGAGAAGAAATGGCGGAGTACCATGGAAACGAACGACGAACTCCTGGAGCAAAAGATCAAGCTGGTCCAGGAAGTAGACAAGATGAAGGACAGGTGAGAAGGCTCTAGTGACAAGTGGTCTTGCACGGCCCCCACAACCATGGCTGCTGCATGTTCCCATTGCGTGCACCACATGGCTCTGCTGCATGTTCCCATTGCGTACACCACATGGCATTTAGTAAAAAATAAAATAAAAAGTGGTATTGCATGATGTGCACCTGTACTACAGTGCTGACAACTGAAATCCGACCCCCTGGGCCCCTGGGCGGTGCGCTCACATCGCAAACACCCAACACAGGACGATAACACTACGAAACAGTGACCGCTAGAAATCTAGGTGAACGCATCGCTCAGGGGTTCAGGAGGTCGGATGTCAGATGCCAGCACTGTATATATACACAGTACAGGACCAGTGGCTATATTCATAATTCTGAACTTCACAGCAGAACAACAATCATATACCGTAATGTCGCGTATAAAAGCAGGTGCTTACGGCCGGATAAGCCGGGGGTAGAACCATGCTTCTGTTCAACTTATACTTCTATTCGAAACATGCGTCTACGTCAACATCATCAGTCTGCACTGTGCAGTGTATACTGCCATGCATGTACGTGGACATGTACTTTGCAGAGAGCAGCTTCTATTCAAACCATGCTTCTGTGTCACGCTGCGCTTCAAAAAATCGGCTTCTTTTCGAGTCTTGCTTCTATACAGGTCATGCTTCTATACAGGTCATGCTTTTATACGCGACACTACAGTATGTGCATGTTTTTGTGCAGCCATGTATACACATGTACATGTATGCAACTGCACGAGAAGAGAACATTTAATTTGCTGTGGCTCAGAGTGTCACGTACAAGTTGACACCTGGAGATGTTTGTGATTGGAGCCAACTGCATTGGTGTATGGCTAGAGTTGAACGCTTTGCGCCGGCTTACTTTCACGAATTTACAACCAGTGCGACGGCGAGTTATTTTTATATCCAAGCTTACTATTCACAAGGTTGCCGGTATTATGTTGTGTATTAGAGGGTACACGCGATGGTTTCAAGAGTTAGACTCCCTCTTCTTGATACGTATCGATTTATAGATCCTTATTGAGGATCCAACCCGTTCCAATGTGTATTGGTTTGGAGACATTTTATGGATATCTTTGGAATTAGCGATGCTGGCTTTCTAGTCTGTCTGTCTTTCTGCCTCTCTATCTGTCTGCCTGACTGTCTGTCTGTCTTCCTGCCTGTCTGTCTGCCTGTCTATCTGTCTGCCTGCCTGTCTGTGTGTATGTGTTTGCATTCGTGTGCGTTTGCGTGCGTGTGCATGTTTCTGTGTGCATGCATACATAATAATTATGTGTGTGTGTGTGTGTGTGTGTGTGTGTTTTTCTCTTGAGAGAGGAGGAAGCAGTTTTTGGAGCTCCGAACTCTTCTTTCTTCGTAGTGAGTTTAGGGCCACGGGCTGGCTCCTGGCTTCTGCCAGGGCCAGCCCTGGTGAGTAGAAAACACTTAGTGACGCGGTGTTAGACAAGGCAGTCTTCATCTTGCTGCCGCGGAGGAGGAAAATTCAGCGTTGACGACATGGCCACTTCGGATGTGACCACTCGCGCTGACCCTCTTTCGCCTGGGTGTAGAGGTCTTGCAAACCCTCGCCCAGAGTCTTTCCACTCGCGTGCACCAGCGGCTCGAAAGGTTGTTCTGTCTCTGGGAACGTGGAACGTCAGGACTCTTGTCGACACTGACGGAAATTTGAATACGGCGTCCAAAGCAAAGAAATCAAGGAAAGTTTGTTCGAATATTCGCGAGGAGAGAAAAATTGACCTTGTGTGTCGTCAGCTCAAAAAGTATGGAATGGACATCGTTGGCCTCCAGGAGACGCTTTGGTTTGGCTCTCATCAATATACTGTCGGAGATTGCTTAGTTTTGACAAGTGGTCGCCCAACACCGACTGGGGATGAGCCTGCTCGTCGTGGTGAAGGGGTTGCTGTCGTTTTGCGAGGCAGATGCAGGGAGGCATTTGAACGCGGAGGCTCTCGCTGGACGGCGGTCAGCTCCAGACTCCTGTCATTGCAGGTAAAATTCGTATGTGGTCGGAATCAGTCTGTGTCTTGCCTGCACTTCGCTGTGGCGTATGCCCCCACGTTTGTCAGGCCCCGTGAGGAGAAAACTCAATTCTACGCAGATGTCCAGTCCTTCATTGACAGTATTCCCAGGAACGATCAATTCGTCCTTCTTGGTGACTTCAACGCCCGTGTTGGCAGTGCTGGTGCGGATGGTGACTGGTCAAGTGTCAGAGGCCCTCATGGTTTTGGTCGAATGAACTCAGCTGGAGAGGATTTGCTCAATTTCTTGTCCAGAAATGGTGCCCTCATATGTAACACGTGGTTTCGGAAGAATGATGTTCATAAGCATACCTGGTTTCATCCTCGATACAAACAGCCTCACTGCATTGACTACTGCATCATTCCTCAGAGCCGACGCTCCCAGTGTATTGATTGCCAAGTCATCCGGTCTGCGGAATGTGATACCGATCATAAATTCTTGGCTATGAAATTGCGCCTGGCAGAGAATCCCTGTTTCCATCGTACCCGTGCTGTCATCAGAAAACCCATTGCTGTGTCCAAGCTGTTGTGCAAGCCTGGCGGAGATGACGAACCGGACACTCGTAAGGTCTTTCGCGACATGCTGGATGCAGAGTTGGAGGGAGCCTGGTCGCATGAGCCATCCTTGGATGACTGGTGGACTACCATCAAGACAACAACTATCAAGGTTGCAGGGGATTGCTTGGGCAGAGAGAGCCGTAGACAGCCGGAGTGGTTTCGGGATAGTCAGGCAGAGCTTGAACCTTTCCTACTGGAGAGGGATCGGCTGTTTGCTGTTTGGGTGTCTACACGCAAAGTCAGTGATTGCAATGCCTATAAGTGTGCCCGCAGCTCCGCGCGGAGGGAAGTCAGACGCGTCAAGCAGGAATGGCTACTCAACAAGGCCCAGGATTGCAAACGTTTCAGCCTCACGTCCAAGGGTGGCTGGGAGTGCATCAGACACATCCAGGCTGCGTTTCAGGGACTAAAACCGAAGGTCACAACAGCGATCAAGAATTCAATGGGACAGGTTTGTGACACCCCCGAGGCCACGAACATGCGGTGGCGGGAGCACTTTGGGAGAGTTCTCAATATCGTCAGCGACTTTGACGTGGAAACCCTCGACTCTATTGACCAGCGTCCGGTCTTGGGGGAGCTTGCGGATGTTCCCGACCGTGTGGAGATTCGTAAGGCCATGCAAGCACTGAAGAACGGCAAAGCTTGCGGTAGCTCTGAAGTCTTTGCCGAGATGCTGAAGTATGGTGGTCCTGTTCTACTGGGTAAGCTGCAGGCATTGCTGGAGGGGGTATGGCGAGCTGGTCGAGTACCGCAGGATTGGGTGGATGCCATCCTGGTCCCTATCCCCAAGAAGGGTGATCTGAGTCTGACTGATAACTGGCGCGGGATTGCCCTTCTCGACGTGGTTGGCAAGCTTGCTGCACGGCTTATAGCGGACCGTCTGCAGCGTGTTGGGGAACAGTATCTGCCTGATTCTCAGTGCGGTTTTCGCAGAGGCAGGGGCTGCTCGGATATGGTATTCTCTGTTCGGCAAGTCGCGGAGAAGTTGCATGAGCATTCTTCCAAGGGATTCGCAGTATTCATTGACCTCCGAAAGGCCTATGACTCGGTGCCGCGGGCCGCCTTGTGGAGGGTGCTTGCAAAGCTTGGCGTACCAGAGGTGCTGGTTTCCGTAATTCGATCGTTCCATGTCGACATGTCAGCATCTATACGCATTGGTGGCGAGCTGTTGGAGCCGATTGCGGTGGGGAACGGACTGCGTCAAGGATGCACCATGGCCCCGATTCTTTTCAATTTGTACATGCTTGCTGTTGTCGAGAAATGGCATGAAGCAATAGCTGGTGACGACGAGATTGGACTATCAATTTGTCAGTTTCGTCAGGACAGACTGTTCAACACGCGTCTCCGAGCATACACCAGGGCTCCACTAACGGAATGCCAGTTTGCGGACGATTCTGCACTTCTTGCCAAGACTCACCCCGGTGCAGAGAGGGCACTCGCTGGGTTTGAGACTACTGCTTCTGCCTTTGGGCTCAAGGTTAACATGGCCAAGACAAAGTTCATGGCTATTGGGACTGGGGTGGTGAACGAGGACATGGCACCTTTAAACGGCACGGTGGAGCACGTGCACTCCTTTCGTTATCTTGGATGCCATGTGACACCGGATGCCAGGTGTACCTATGATGTGTCGCGTAGAATTGCTGCTGCATCGGGCGCTTTCCACAGTTTGAAGGATGCAGTGTTCTACAACTCGGACTTCACCATCGGCATCAAGCGTGTAGTCTATGGCGTCACTGTTCTGGCTGTCCTCCTGTATGGTTCTGAGACTTGGACAACACGGCAAAGGGACCTGCAGCGGCTTGACGTGTTTCACCATCAGTGCTTGAGGATGATCTTGCACATCGGTCGTGCACGCCAGATTGATGAGCACATCTCCAATTTGCAGGTGCGGAAATGGTGGGGCGACTTGGAGCAGCCGGCTGACAAGATTCGCAGGCGGCGGCTGCAGTGGCTGGGCCATATGGCACGTATGCCGAGGGGCGACCGCATCCCTCGTCAGCTGTTGTTTGGCTCCTTGCCATCGAAGCGCCCACCCCATGGTCCGAGGAAGCGATGGAAGGACGTGGTGCGGACCGACCTGGCGGCAATTGGCATTGAGCCCAATTCCTGGCTCGACGTGGCAAGTAATCGCCGTGAGTGGAAGTCCCAGTGCCTTGATGGGGTGGATCGTATTGTACTTGCCCGTCAAGAGCCTGTCGACAAGCCTCTGCTTTGCGGTGTGTGCAACCGCAGTTTCCGCCGCCGTCAGGATATCGCACGGCATCGTTGTACATCGCGGCGTTCAATAGCAATTATAACCCGTGGGAATGCGCCGTCACGTCAGTCGTCGGGTCCTGGTGCCGCTTCCCGGAGACAGCGCTAATCCAAGAGCTGCCCCGTATGGGGCCACTTAGCCAGTCATGGCAGTGGAGAAGAAGGAAGGAAGGAAGGTGTGTGTGTGTGTGTGTGTGTGTGTGTGCGTGTGTGAGTGTGTCCCATATGGTGCAGTGGTATGTGCAGCGATTTCCAATCGAGAGGTTGCGGGTTCGATTCCCGACGATTATGGTCACACACGTCTTTTTTCTCTTTCTCAGACTCCTCCTGACTTTTCTTTCATTCTCCTGGGTGGTTACCAACAGCCAGTGCATGCCGGAGTATGTGGTGTGATGTGTGTGCGGGAAAAAAAATGGAAAAAAGACCAAAAAGTAGTAATTCACTGGCCAGAAAAAGCCACTTCATAGCTGTGTGGTGTAGACCAGGCTGAATAGTGGTGGTCAATTATTCAGCCTTGCAAGTTGTTGAATGGTGCAATCCCAGCACAAGCTGCTATGGCTTCTGCCGTAGCATCGCTATCATCGCCTCCGGCGATGGGCGTCCAATGGTCCAATGGTGCGTGTATGTGTGCCTGTGTGTGCGCGTGTGTGTGTGTGTGTGTGTGTGTGTGTGTGTGTGTGTGTGTGTGTGTGTGTGTGTGTGTGTGTGTGGACACGTGGCCCATATGCATGCGGATGCATTGCAGGATTGAAGATGCGATTGATGTCCACGCTGAGCTGCTATGTGATCGTGAGCACTACATTGAGGCAGTAAAAGAGAGCCAAGACAGCGCTACTCATCAACATGAAGAACTGGAACTACTCTGTGCTCAGCTTGTAGCTCGACAGCAGTACATGCAGGTTAGCACTAGAGGAAAACCTTGTTTAAGCGACCACCCCGCGGTGCAAGCAAGAGCGGTCGTTAAAGCCAGGTGGTCTTTAGAACCAGGTCCCACTGTGTCTGTGTAGAACTGTGGGTGCATGTAAAACCGGTGGTTAAGAGCAGGTGGTCGCTAAACCCAGAGGTGGTTAAGAGCAGGTGGTCGCTAAACCCAGAGGTGGTTAAGAGCAGGTGGTCGCTAAACCCAGAGGTGGTTAAGAGCAGGTGGTCGCTAAACCCAGAGGTGGTTAAGAGCAGGTGGTCGCTAAACCCAGAGGTGGTTAAGAGCAGGTGGTCGCTAAACCCAGAGGTGGTTAAGAGCAGGTGGTCGCTAAACCCAGAGGTGGTTAAGAGCAGGTGGTCGCTAAACCCAGAGGTGGTTAAGAGCAGGTGGTCGCTAAACCCAGAGGTGGTTAAGAGCAGGTGGTCGCTAAACCCAGAGGTGGTTAAGAGCAGGTGGTCGCTAAACCCAGAGGTGGTTAAGAGCAGGTGGTCGCTAAACCCAGAGGTGGTTAAGAGCAGGTGGTCGCTAAACCCAGAGGTGGTTAAGAGCAGGTGGTCGCTAAACCCAGAGGTGGTTAAGAGCAGGTGGTCGCTAAACCCAGAGGTGGTTAAGAGCAGGTGGTGGCTAAACCCAGAGGTCACTTACACCAGGTCTTACTCTATTATGATTGCAATGCGCTTCTGTGTGTTTCCATTCTTCTTGATGAAGCTGCGTTTGCTGCTGACGTTGCTGTTGCTGTAATG